AAAAATGGTTTATTTTGCTGATCAATTTGTACTGGTAATGTCACCCGTTTGGAAAGAACAGATGTAAAGGTATAATTGCTGCTTCTCAAAGAAAACTGAAGAGCTGTCTTGAAGTCTCCAAATCTTAGATTTTGGGGTCTATGAAGTCATCAATATTCAACAACACTTTCTTATATACTGAAGCTGGGGAAGCCACCAAATGAAGGTTTATGAAACTCACATATAGTGTATATTTATACAAGATTATGACTCTGTTACTTTTCAGTTCAGTTACTTTCTTGTCAGAAGGATATCAGAAAAGAATTTTTCTATGTTGCTTGTTGCCTTTTTGACTTGATCATAAATGGAAACTATTGCATATACAAATCATATTATTTTATATTTATTTATTTACATCCTGCCTTTATTATTTTTATGTATAATTCCAGGCAGCAAACATACCCAACATTCCTTCCTCTACCTGTTTTGCCCAGAACAACCACATTTATGAGGTGGGTTGGGGGGAAGAGAGAGAGAGAGAGAGAGAGAGAGAGAGAGAGAGAGAGAGAGAGAGAGAGAGAGAGAGAGAGATGTCTCGAAGGTGCTGTTCAAAAGGCAATTAGACTTTTTTGGTTTTTTTTCCTTGAAAACATTTCACTTCTCAAAAAAACAAGAAAATTCAGTTGCCTTTTGGATAATCATAACCTGGATGACTTAGAATCTCCATAAACAGAGAGTAATAGATCTTCTTTGCTTTATTACAGTTTATTTTTATGGCTAACCTTAATAGAGGTTAGCTAATTCTTCAGTGATGGAAGTGAGATGGGTGTGTATGTGAATGGATATCCATGCACTCCTGGCAGTCCGTTCTGGACCTTGGAGGCTTCCCCCGGACCTCTGAAGCTCAGAACAGACTTCCGGAAGCGGCATCCACGTACTTCCGGCAGTTTGTTCTGGGCCTTGCAAAAAAGGGTTAGGGCTTCAGCCAGTTTGCTGAAGTCAACAAAAAATTACTGGTGTGAACCAGCTGAATCCCACCACTGATTACTACTCCCAAAACATAGACAGAGTCACAGCCATGACTATGCATGACTATCTAGGCATTATGAGGCAGTGCAGCTGGCCCTATCAACTGTGCTCCATTCTTTTGAGGGTTGAAGGCAGTTGAACTCTTTGTCCAATACACTTAAATGGGGTGGCAAGTGCAGACTGGACTATTGAATGAAGCTCCATCAGTCTCAACAGTTGATTTTTATATATTTATTAGATGCACACCACACCATCTATGTACTAGTCACTTTGGCTCCTCATAAAAACAAGATGCAAAGAAGCAAGATAGAAAATACATTAACACTAAGAACATAATTAAAGAATAGCAAAATATTATTAAAAGCCTGACAAATAGAACTACCTGTCTAAAGCAAAATATGAAAGAGTCAATGTAGCTTTCCTCATAAAGTAACTGCAGTCAAAAGTGGGAAGGACAGCTGTAGCAATCCTCAATCATACACACCATGATATTATGTGTTTTTTGTTTGGGGAGCCACTAATGTCTCAACCATTTCAACTTTACATTGGGACTGAAGTGATTTCAAAGCACTTAGCCCCATCTAACACTAATCTCTCACAAAAGAATAAGGATGCTGTTTGTGCAGTGTCATCTTGTCTTATCTGGCCACAAGAGGTTTGCCACTCCTTCATGGGCTAGAGCATATAAGTGAAATTCTAGCGTTTGCCATCCCAGTGGAATTTAATTACGGAAATTGGATTGCTGAGAAAAATCTGATGGCAATTAATATTTCTGAAGATGCTTTATAGAGGCAACGGCATTTGTCTCTTCAGTTATTATTCCTATAGGCAATGCCACTGACAGCTTAGCAGTAAGAGATAAGTTCTTGCCAGAAGCACAGGCCTTGATAGTTTCCTGATTTATTCCCAGATTAACTCCTATGATGGAAAATGATTTGTCCGGCAGCCCATATTAATGTGGAATTGGGTTGATTGAAATTTGGAATTAAATTAAAATAGGAGCATTTAATAGGAGAGGAATTTAATGAAAGTTGCCCTAGATGTTTAATAATGAAACAGTAATGTGCCCCAAGTAGATCAGTTTCTAGTCTGCCATTTTGTTTTATTCTCAACCTCAGGACTCTCAAATGGTGCCAAGAAACTTTGATATAACTTTAATTTGCTTTTATGTTGAAACAAGTAAGCTTCAACTTAGTGATTCAGTGATTGTTCAAAGTTATAACAGAACTGAAAAAAGTAACTTGTGACTGGTCGTCTCACTTACAACTGGCGCAACATTCCCACAGTCATGTGATCAAAATGTGGATATTTGTCAACCAACATGTATTTAAAATCATTGCAATATTCCAAGGTAATGTGACTGCCATTTGTGACTTCCTTAGTTGGCTTCTGACAAGCAAAATCAATGGGGGAAGCTGTATTTGCTTAACAGCTACATGGTTAGAATATAATAGAATAATAATAGAATAATAACTTTATTGTCACTTTGAATGTACACTAATCGGCATACAATAAAATGAAATTTCATTGCATACAGCTCTCAAAGGATCACCACCTCCAATATACACTACATAAATATGACAAAAATAAATAAATACAGAATTGTGCATATACCCACATATATTATGTGACACAGAGAAACAACAGCTACATGATTCATTTAATAACTGGAGCAGTTTGCTTAGCAAAAAACTTCTACGATCAGGCATAGCTCATTTAACAACCACCTTATTTAGCAATGGAAATTCTGGTCCCAGTTATAGTTGTACGTCAAGGACTCCCTGTATCCTATTGTCTCACAGATTTATTATGGAGCCAAATTAGTTCCTACCATCATTCCAAATCCCAACGCAGTAGTGATGCTTTCCTGCTATTAGGACTCTTTACTGTGGCCATGCCTCTCCATTTATTTTTCCTGCTTTCATGTTCACTGTATTGCCTTGCAACTTCTTATTTTACAACATTTACAAAGTATCTGGCAGAACCTTTTGAAACTCACAATTTTATCTAAGGCATAAGCAGTGGTGGGATTCAGCCGGTTTGCACCACTTCGGCAGAACCGGTAGCTAATTTTTTGTTGCCCAGGCCCAGAATGGAATTCTGGAAGCAGCACCCACACAGAGAACCAGTTGTTCACATATTTGAATCCCATCACTGGGCATAAGCTGTCATTAGCCACAGCACATCAGATTGGTATATGGCAGTGGTGGCGAACCTATGGCACGGGTGCCAGAGGCGGCACTCAGAGCCCTCTCTGTGGGCACGCGCACCGTCGCCCCAGTCCTAGGCCTTCAGCTGGGTTTTATAAAACCTTTTCGCTTTAGGCCTCTGCCGCCGTGTACAAAAAAAAAGGTTCAATCAATCAGTCAATTTCAACTTCTCGCGGGGAAAAAAAATAATTTGCAAAGTTGGAATTGATTGATTGAACTTTTTAGTCCCACCCAGTCTGCTGTTACCACCGCAGCCATGCCCACCCAATGGGCCACACCCACCTGGCACCCGACGATGCATAAGTGGGTTTTGGGTTGCAGTTTGGGCACTCGGTCTCTAAAAGGTTCGCCATCACTGGTATATGGAGTGATCTGGATTTAAATGCATTGGAATGGAAGGGAGGGGGAGGGGAAGAGAAGAAAACAATGGGTTTAGCAAGCCAGTGCTTGTTTTTGAAATGTGTCTGGAGAAAAAAGATAAAAGATCACTTGAAATGATATGGAACATTATGGATGCTAAAGAGGTTGGAAGAAGGAGCTTTAACAATTTGGCCTCTGGTTTTGACTGGCAATACCTGCTACAGCAACTGTTTTGTAAGTGGCAATTCCTTTCTTGCCCATGGCATTATTTTTGATGTAAGCAGCTGGTCTCAGAGGTGTTCAGTGGGATTGATTAGGTTTGAGCAGTGTGACTTTGCAAGGTTTCATAGTTGCTTACCATTTTTGCTGGCCTCCACTAATGCTATTACAAAAGGTCAACACCCCCATTTAATTAACATATTAATAAATTTGGTTGTTGAAATGGTGTATCGCTTCAATCAGAATTGGGCTTTACACACTTTAGATGATATTAAATTGGTTCCTGCTCTTGTTTTGTAGAAACAATGTTCAATAAATCTTGTAGATGTCCTTGTTTCAATTTTCCTTTATCTACAATAAACCATCTTCTAAATGGCTATAACTATGAAATGGCTGAAAAGCCAAACTGAAATATAGCA